ATTCAACTCTGGGTCTGTACTACAGGGTCCTTCCTTCAGGAGCAAATTGCACCACAACGGGTCCCCCATGGATGGCAGTTCTCCCCAGGTTGCCTGCTCCTGCATAGGCTACTGTCCACAACCTGCAGCTCCAGCCTGGGGCTTGCTCCTGTGGGGGCTCTCCACAGGCCGTAACCTCCTCCAGGCCACATCCACCTGCTCCACCGGGGGCTTCTCCATGGGCTGCAGCGTGAAGATCTGCTCTGCTGTGGTACTCCATGGGCTGTTGGGGGACAGCCTGCTCCACCAGGGGCCTCTGTATAGGCCGCAGTGGAACTTATGTTGTGTGCCTGGAGTACCTCCTGCCCTCCTGCTGCACTGCTCTTGGGGGCTGCAGGGCTGGATCTCACCCCTCTCTCCCAGCTGCTGTTGCCCAGCAGTTTTTTCCCTTCCTTAACTCTGCTCTCCCAGAGAACCAAGAAACATCCCTCACTGACTTGGCTCTGGCCAGCAGCAGATCCCTTTTGGGAACTGTCTCTGATCTGATGGGGCAGCTACTGGGCTCTGCTCACAGAGACCACCCCTGAAGCCTACCTACTACAAAAATTTTGCCATGTAAATCCAATGCAGGATAAGGATGCTACTGAAAAAAGCTTTTTATTTATTTTTATTTATTTTTTAATTTTTATTTTTTCCCCAAGTGTACTTCTTGCTCTGGAACTGGAGCAGGCTGCATAACAGTGGTAATAATTTTATGCTACTTGGAAGTAGGAATTGGTTAATAAAGTCAGTGTCATAGTCCTGAGTGTCCACAGTGGCAGTCCAAATGAGGTAAATGATTTCAGATAACCATCCTGCGTGCAGAGAAGATAGATTTGGTCATCTCTTCAGTGATCATAAATTTCTGTTTTATTTGTCAGTTTAGGGATACAACTACGAGAGCCATGACCTCTTTTTTATGTATATGTAAGGCAGTCACAATATTCTAAAACTCTGCCCTCACTGACCTCCTGGATGAAGATGCAGATGTCCTAGTGAGAGCTGAAGGTATTAACACCATATGAAGCAGCAGCACCAAAATATATATATTCCACTGTACAACACCTTATAGCCTAATAATTTACTAGATTTGCACAATATCAAGTAAATGTGAACTTTGTGTTCTAAGTTAATTTAATCTTTTGTGCAGTTAGGGTACAGCAACTACAAGTTGGTTTTTGTGGTATGAAGTTTAGAAAACAAGCCTTGCATGTTTCTGGCTAGTTTTGGTCCATTCCAATATGTATTTAACAGTAAGAGATTATTACTAGTTGTGGAAAATCATTAGATGGTATTTCTTGCTTTTTCTGTTCATGATTATATTTTACAGATGTGGATTATTTAAGATTCATTCATAATTTCATTAAAATAAAATATTTTGTTAATGTAAATTAGATTAGTCTGCCAATAAGGAAAGACTGACCAAGGTGAAATCCAGTTTTGAATAAGAACACATGGCTTTCATTCTCTCCTTTGTTGAAAAATAAAACAACAAGAAACAAACAAGTAACCATATTCCATTCTTGCCAGGGAGTGTTCAATCTGCTACGAATGATCCTCTCCTCTTTATTAATGAATCCTGACAATTCCTTCAGACTCACAAACAAACTACTGCTTCATGTTCAACTAATAAGTCTGTCATTAAACTACCTCAGACCTGAAATTCTTTTGAACAACTTTTGCTAAATTTGGAAGATTATGAGAAAGTAGAAACAATGTAGAATGAAATAAAAACTGAGTGATTGCAATAATACCCATGTGAAATAGTTTCAGCTGTTTTCACAGGATCATAGTATCATCAAATCACAGAATGATTTGTGTTGGAAAGGATCTTCTAATTACAACACCCTTGCCATGGGTAGGGACACATTCCACTAGATCAGGTTGATCAAAGCTACACCCAGCCCAGCTTTGAACACTTCCAAGGAGGGAACATCCACAGTTTCCCTGGGCAACCTGTACCAGTGCCTCACCATCCTCAGAGTGAAGAATTTCTTTCTAAAAACTGTTACCCCTTCATGTCACTACACTCTCTGACAAAGAGTCTTTCCCCAGATTTCCTGTAGGCCCTTTTGGGCCTACTGGAAGGACACTATAAGGTCTCCTCTTCTCCAGGCTGAACAACCCCAGCTCCCTCAGACTGCCTTCACAGGAGAGGTGCTCCAGCCCCTAATTATCCTCATGGCCTTCACCTGGACTTGTTCTTACACATCCATGTCTTTATTATACAGGCTCCCAGAACTGAATGCAGTACTCAAGATGGGGTCTCAGAGAGCAGAGTAGAGAGGGAGAATTATCTCCGTTGACCTCCTGGCCATGCTTCTTTTGATGGAGCCCAGGATATGATTGGCTTTCTGGCTCCAAGTGTGCACACTGTTGGCTCATGCTGAGCTTCTCATCAACCAATCTCCCCAGGTCCTTCTCTGCAGAACTACTCTCAATCCATTCTTCACTGAGCCTGTATTTATACTTAGGATTCCCCTGACTCAGGTGCAAGACCTTGCACTTGTTTTTGTTGAACTTCGTAAGGGCTGCACCAGCCCACCTTACCAAACCTTCTGAGAGTGTGCTCCCAATGTCTGTGTCACCAACAAAGATGTTAAACAGCACTGGTCCAAATACTAGCTCCTGAGAAATGCCGTTTGTAACCGATCTCCTCTTGGGCATTCAGCCATTCATTGCAACTCTTCGATTGCAACCTTGCAACCAATTGCTTACACACTGAGTGGTGCATCTCTCAAATCCATATCTTTCTATTGTAGAGACAAATTTTCCTTATTTTCTGTGTGCCTCAGTAGAGTTTCCAGGAGGATCTGTTCCATCATATTCCTGGGCATATAGACTGACTGGCCTGTACTTCCAAAGACCTTCTTTTTTTTCCCCCTTTTTAGAAATGAGGGTTATGTTTCCCCTCTTCCAGGAAATGCCAACTTTTTCAGACTGCCATGATTTCTCAAATATGGTGGACAATGGCTTCACAACTTAATCTGCCAGTTCCCCAGGACCCTTGGGTGCATCTCATCAGGTTCCATGAATGTATTCATATTTAGGTTGCTTAAGATTGTCTCACACTTGTACACTGGGCAGTTCATCATTTTCCCAGTCCCTGCTTTCTGTAACCTGAGCTATGTGGCTAGAGTTCCTAGCAGAGAAAACTGAGGCAAAAAAATTATCAAGTACTTCAACCTTTTCCATATCCCAAGTACCCATGTCTGCTGTTTCATTCAGAAGAATGCCCACAATTACCCTAGTAATTGTGAGTCCCTCTTCCCTTCAAGGCTTTGTCTTGTGGTGCTCTAACAAGCAGATCCCTGAAGAGGCCAAAGTCTGTTCTCTCAAAATCCAAGGTAGTGAGGTTGCTGTGCTCCCTCCTTGCTGCTCCCAGGATCCTAAACTCTGCCATTTCATGGGCACTGCATCCAAAGATGCCCTTTGGCTTCATGTTCCTTACCAGTCCCTCTTTGTTGTTGAGAATGAGGTCCAGCATAACACCTGTCCTTGTTGTCTCCTCTATCACTTGGGGGAAGTTATCATTGGTGTATTCCAGGAACCTCCTGGATAGCCTGTGCCCTCCTGTGCTGTCTCTCTAACAGATATTGAAGTGGTGAAAGTCCCCCATGTGGATCAGAGGTTGAGAATGTGAGGCTGCTTCTATCTGTCTATAGAGGGGACTGTCTATCGTCACCCACTTGGTCTTTCTGATGAAGGGACCTGTAACAGACCCCCAGCTCTAACATCACCTACCCCTGCCCTTCCTTTAATTCTGACCCATAAACTCTCTCTCAGCTCTTCATCCATCTGCAAGCAGAGATATATGAACTCTAGCAGCTCACTGTCATAGAAGGTACGTGCCTCCTCCTCGTCCCCCTTGCCTATCCTTCCTGAAGAGCCTTTATCCTTCCATTCCAACACTCAAGCCATGGGAGCCATCCCACCATAATATCAATGAGGTCATAGCCCTGCAAGCATGTGTACACCTCTGTCTCCTTGTGTTCTTTCCCCATGCTACATGTGTTTGAGTTGGGCCCCTGATGAAACTGACTGACTAGCTGGAGCAGCTGGTATTCCTCTGTGCTGCTCTTCAGCTGCTCTCCTGCTGACCCGTGACACTTCTCTAGGCTCTGGGCATCTATCACTGACACTAGTATCAGAATGATGGGTGATAAAATAAAAATTATTTATCTCCTCCATAAAATACAGTAATTATTTTACTGTTGCAGAAGACCAAATAGGAAAGTATGAACATATTCATGACAAATCTTATTATTGAAGTTACAGTGAGAATAGTGATAACGTTACCAGCTTAAGTGGAACCTGAAACTGCAGAACCAAACAATTTTTTCATTGCTGGAGGATCAGTAGATATTGGTGTATGCAAGTGATGATAACAGTGTTTTTAAGCAGATATTAAAATTAATGAGAAAGGAAAAAATGAATGAAATTATTTATTTAAAATAAGCCTGTGCAGCATCTGCTGAATGAAATCTTGATGGTAAGTGCATACTAGATAGTTCCTGAAGGTAGGGATAGGGACAAGTCCAATCAGCTGGTGAATCTACAGTGGATTAATAACGGCTTGATCATTCTGCACATATTGAAGGAAAATAATGTCAACACTGTCTTGTTTACTGAACATGGTAGTGTAACAAATGACTAATTCCATCTGATTTATATTATCATATTAAGACTTCAGTGTTAATTCATGTGACTTCATTCCATATAAGGCATTAATTCTCTTTGTTAAAATGAAATACAATATTTATTCCATGTTTACGTCAATACTGTGTTCTATCTTGTGGAGCTGCACTGACATCAATAGGTTTCATAAAACTGAAAAACATCTGTATTGTACTGGGAGCAAAACTAGACATATTGTGACTAGTCATGTTAACATGTACATTTTATATTTACGTATAAAAGTACAGTAGTTATTATGATTAAGCATAATGGTACAATCCCCTATGTCCATGGAAATCACTGACCTCTTTGTTGGAGATGTCACTTGGGATTTCCGTTAGTGCCAGTTATGCAGATGGTTTTCATGAAATGGACATCTGTTGATTAAAAGTTGGACTAAAATTAAAAATGTGTTTTGCTTATGGTCGTTAATCACTACTTATCACCCTGCTTCACATTCTAACTAGCGATGAGCTCTCCAAACCATTGCTCTGTTGTCATGATAATGGTTGGATTTTATCCTCTCTTGAATATATACAAATAGTGGATGTGGATGCTTCTGGCTATTGACTTCACCGGTAACAGAAACTACTGACTTTTACTGACTTGCTATCACTATACTGATCGTAGAGACTAGTTCTGCTTTGTCACCATCTGTTACCATTTAACTTTTCTTCATTATGGCTAATAACATCAAAATGACCTGTGTGAAAATTGTTTTCGTAGATTATTTTTTGCTTTTGCACAATATTTCCCAATTTTACAGTAGACCACAAAGTACTTATCTATGTAATACTCAGTTCCAGAGTGATCTGCATATGAGGAAGAAGGAAGATTTAATGGAAATACTGGGAAAACATTTGCGGAAAACATTCAGCTGCAGTTCTGGAAATGAAAAAGTTGAAAAAAAAAAATCCTAAAACTAATGTAAGTAGAGCTTCTAATATATGTATTCTGAGAGGAAAAAAATAAAGAAGACTCCTAGAGGAAAAAATAATTTGTTATAGGATGTTTTTTTTTAGTGGAAAAACGAAGTTTTTCTCAAGTCTAGAAATTCTGGGACTTCATTTTTTCCATCTATGACTTTTTTAAAATCATAAATTTTGTAACCTGTTGCCCAATAATTCCTGTGAAACGCCTGTTTCCTATTCTGTCATTCAATTTTTCATTCATCTTCAGGCATCATTTTTGGTATAGTTTGCTGGTCTTTGAAGAGGTTACATTAGAGGCCTGAAATAATTTATTGGTTGTAAGGTTGGTATTCCTCCAACAACATACCATTTCTTGGTTTACACGATCAGTAGATTAAAAAAATTTAAAAAGCCAACAGAGTGGCAACCTTTTAAAAGGATGAAAAGGATGAATTGTTTGTTTGTTTGGTTGGTTGGTTGATTTTATATCTTTTTGGACAAGAATAGACAGACATCATAAGATTTCATTTCCCAACATATCATTTGCTTTTCTGAGAGAAGGTCATTGAAGAGATGCATGAGATCTCTGTTCTTGAATTTACAGGAAATTTTAACCGGACTTTTAATTTCAGGTCTGATCAGGTTGTTGGTTTTGGTTTGTCTGAATATGTATTTACTTATTTATTTCCCATTACTGAATGCTACTTTTCATGCATTTGCAGTAAAAGCATCAGATACAGGATTTAGCCTAGATGGCTTCTTCATTGTAAAATGCAGGCTTTTGAGTAATGAGAGGAGAGAGAATGTGATTTTGAAAGTAGTTACCTTCACTACTTTATTTTAATTATTTTTATTTTATTTTATTTTTTTCTTTTTCTTCCCTAGCTGAAAGGAGCAACCCCCCCTTGGTTGGCAGACCGAGAGATGATATCATAGCACTTTTTTCAGGTTCCATATAAAGCAGGCCACTGAACTGGAAAGTCTTGGAGACTCAGAAGCTTGATCCCAACTCTGGCTTTTACGTGCAGTCTGGAGCATTAATGGGCGTGTTCTAGTGCCTGCTTTGTTAATGAGGTGTGTCCTGAGATGCATACACAGAAATATTGCTCATGGAATATTGAGCATAAGTTCTGACGATTTATTATACATGTAGCAGTGATTGACATTAAAAATGAACGAAAACGTAAGAAGAAATTAAGAATATTATACTTATTAATTTTAAGTAAACAGTTGAAAGGTACTGATAATTTTTGGAACAGTGCTGAGTAAGAGTGATGATTACTCCGCACTAAGATTAGCCCCTGGAGGCAGACACCGTTTTTGAATTACAGTCCTCCCTCCTTGTCTATGGAAGTTCATAATTTACTGCTCTCCCATTCTATTAGTGAATCAGAGACTTTCCTTCTCCAGGCTATTTGGCATGCTGTGGGTTGAGAACAAGCATACAGTTACCACCTGCTCTGTTCTACCTCTTTTGGCTTCAAAGTCCCTAGAAGAAAATGGAATAAAAAAAAAACATGTTTTCATCTATGTTACTTTTATCTGAAGGCTAGTTTATCTAGAAGACAGATATAAGGCACATACCAAGTCACAATATGATTTTTTATTAGTTTTGGGCTATTGACATTTTTCATCACATCTATTTTCTGAAAAATTGGGTAAATCGGTGAGTGATATGGGTAACATGAATGAAAGAGATCCTGGTCTGATCATCTCTGTGATTGCGGGACCAGAACTGGTACAATAACTGATACTAATCCACTTCAGAATAATTTACAAAACAGTCATCTGTTGTATCTTCCAGTTATCACATCTTCTGTTTTGCTCTAAATAATAATAATAATAATAATAATAATAAAAATAATAATAATAATAATAATAATAAAGCAACTTTTTCTGAATATGAAAGAGCTAGTTCACATAAACAAATTTCCTAATTCTTGTCTTCTTGCCTTTTTTTTTTTTGTTTGTTTCTTTTCTTAACTGGTGTTGTTATCAATAATGTAATCTGAGCAACAAATATTCAAGGTGCTCTAATTACAGTGTTAAGAAACATTTTGTATCATCTGGATCAATTTCCATAAATAACATTTCTGTATTCCAGAAATTTTCCCTGCAAGTACCACAAGCTCACAAACTCCTTTTTAGCAGTCTAAAAATAATTCTTTTGCTCAAAAACAAAAGCAACAACAACAAAGCAAGCAAGCAACAACAAAAAAAAATGAATAACAACAAACAGAAGCCACCAAAACCTTATGTTATAGGATGAGAAAATGGAAAATCGTGGGCATTTCAAATACCTTAGGTCCCTCTGACAGCAACAGTAAAGGATTTGAAATGTTATAATGAACAGAGAAAGCATCATTCATAGAGGCAGTTAAATTTAGCAATTGCATGCTAAACTGATCATCTGCCTCATAATCACTCCAAAAAATATGTAATTATTGCTCCGCTCTCTGTTCTTAATTTAGATTTTTATTTTATTTATTTATTTATTTTCCTGCAGAAACCGCTGGACTTTCAAAACTGGGAGTGATAGAATGCTGAAGTTTGGCTTCATTGATCACAGCCTATATTCATTTTGCAAAATAAGCGTAATTTTGAAAGGCATTATTTCAATGAAGTAAAAAGACATAATTCACATCTCTTGGCATACCACGAACACTATTTAAAGCTTAATAGTCAAGTACATTCAAAAGCAGGAAGGCCAAGTATCTCTTTTTTCCCCTGATTAGACTTTGAAGTGCTAAGTGAAAAGCTTGCAACAGCTCATGCAAAACATCACAAAAAGGACTTTTAATATACCTGAAACACTGATCATCTTCAAGGGTAAGTGGTGTTGGCAGCTGTTTCTTTCACTGAAAGCTATGAGCTTGGGGGTTGAAAATATAGGTCAAGAATTCAACAAAATTCAGAATCTGTGATAAACATAAAATGTCAAGGAGAGGGGGAGGATTTTTGTTTTGGAACCTTGAACTCAGGAGAACTCTGATTCAGCATCATCATTACTCAATCTATTCCTCATGTGGGAAAATATTTATTCTGATGATGTTCTCTCAAAAGTGTTTACTGCACAGGAAATAACACTTGACAGAAAAGTATTTCTTTTTGTTTTCTTCATTCAACCATTCTCATTTGTTGGCTTTTCAGCACACAAAGATTTCAATATATGTGTCAATTTAAACATACTAAAGAAAACTGATTTTTTTTTTTTTCATACCATTAGCAACTTTGATAAGTATAAAAAAATAAATTGCATGGAAAAAAAAATTGTTCTAAATTTTTCACATTTAATAGTTATATCACATTGGGCTGAGAAGTGTCTTTGTTGTATTTTAATGAAAAACATCTATTTGATTATCTTTAAATCAAAGTTTTATATTAATTGAGAATTTTCTTAAAGTTTTCATGCATGATAAGGAAGGAATTCAATTTTTTTTTCTTTCATAAAAGAAGTCTGTATTAAGAATACCAATGAGAAAGTGTTGATTTGTCCTTGTCCTCTACAGGGCATTAAGCTTTTTTTTTTTAATCACTGGCTGAATCATAAAGGAAACTTGGCTTGCATGTTACATGAAACAGGTTTCTGGGAAGTAAAGAGCTCTGTGAAAATTAAACCTGCTATAGATGTATTGGCACTGAAAAAAAAAGTGAAAGGAACATGCAAACAACTTTATTCGTTAGTAAATGTTAAAATAATATTTCTTTATTCTCTGGACGTAGTGCTGAGTATAGGATAGGCGGAGTTTTACTTTTAACAAATACCATAACAACTGCAGTAGCTGCATGTGTTAAGTTACTAATACTTTTCATCACTTTATCAGTGTGTGTGTCCTTTTCACTGCCTTTCAGTACTGCCAGATACTTTTAGGACAAGAAAAGATGCTGAAAATAAAATAAAATATAACTTTATTTATTTTTCCCAGATTAGACTTCTCAATGCTAAGAGAAATTAACATCTTTGAAACAGATCTTCATGGATCCTAATCAAAATTTATTCTAATCAATCTTAAATCACTGTATTGACAGGGTAAATCAGCCTCTCCCAGGAGAAGAACAATCACACCATTTAAATTATTATTAACTTACGTGTGAGACCTGACCAAGCACAGGCTTGGAAATATTACATGTTCTGTGAGATCATGAGGAGTGGCGTTATGTAGTCTCCTTCCAGCTAACAGACTTAAAAAAGGAGTTTTGTTCAAATAGGAATCCAAGATTAAATTGTACAGTTCTATCCTGTATCACAAAGTACTAACATACTTAACACCAAATGATGCCCTTAGCAAGACAGAAAGGCTGAACCAAGAACCATCTGGCTTTAATCAGACCTGTAGCTGCTCATGGTAAGGGTTATAATGTAAGGAATATTCATTATCCTGCAACTGGTAACAAATAAATAAATAAATAAATTCTGATTTATAAGGTTCTCAGTCTGAATTGCATACAAATTTGGCATGGCATTT